AATTAAAGGTAGCAGGTTGTTAAAAATATTATAACTTTTGATTCAGGTAATAACTTGAATATATGAGTAACATTTAATGTTTTCACATGTAACAGGATGATCAAGCTGAAGATAGCCTCAAAAAGGATTGAACTCCACTGTAAGAATTAGGTGACTAATTTGGAAACTTGAACACTTGGTAAATACACCTTGGCTTACAATTCTGATGATTACAGTTTGCTGAGGTAATTTAAATGTTAGTTTCCATGCAGGAACCTTCCACTTGACCTGTACAGTCATGTGCTTTGAGAAATCTTTAGAAAAATGCCTTTGTGTTGGCAGAAATATTGTAAATACAGTACCACCTAGTGACAAAAATAAATGATTTCCTGGAAGCATGAACTTTTGGGAGAAGTTATGGTGGTAAATGACCCTTCTTTTGCTAGGATTTTTAGGTTCCGATGATTGTAATTTATAACTTTTAGCTTTCAAACTTTCAACTATGTATTAATTTTAGCTGTTTACCATATCTATTCTCTGTACCTTAAATCCTAAAAAGTTGAAGCAGGCGATTCAATAACCTGACTTCCTTTGTTTGGAATTGTGTGATTATATAATTTTGTTGTGTAAGTTACCATACTGTAGCATGTAATGTTATTACTTAGATTGCATTAAATAAACTAGCTCAAGTTTTCATTAATGCATGGTGTTTCTTACCAATGGTCCTACCTAAACTGAAAATCGAAATAAGGAATTGGTCACAAGATATCTGAGTTTAAAAGGGTAGGAATCTGGAAAACAAGGATCCTCCTTTAATTAGGACCGAAATTAATGGGGGCCCTCTTATTTTAATTCATGTTTTTAATTTGACTTGCCTCCTCAGGTTCAAACACGAGCTGAATATTACTTTTCTTTTTAATTTTCTACGCTAAACAGAGGAGATTAAAACGTTAGGAAAAAGCAATAGGGCAAGCAGTCATACCTGGCAACTTCAAGAGAAGATATAAGAGAAGCCCATACGATTCTGGCGTATTGTTTTACTGACTCACTGTGCTCACCAAATATACACTCCAATCGACTAGTGATGTGTTAATACAAAGTAGTTTGCCGTCGTTTCTTTTAATTTTGGCTCATTTTCCCAAACCGAAATAATAACTCCCGCCCTAAGAAATATAATTTCAACTGATGCTGACGTCATACACTTTGTCTGAAGAAGAAAACATGCCCTATCTTATATAAACTTAATTTTAGGGTTTTCGAGGGATTATCAACGAGTGGTTCCAGTCGTACTCAACAAATCAAACGCAAACAACTCAAATTGGATCGCACGTATCAACTAAACTAATTTCTCCCTGTGGTGTCTCTCGTGGTTCGGTTTTAGGACAACTTCTCTTTTTACTTTATATAAATGACATTCACCTCTGTTCCAATAAACTTCAATTTTTCTTATTTGCGGATGACACTAATATTCTCTATGTCGACAAGGACCACAATTCTTCAGAACAGACAGTCAATGCTGAACTGAACAATTTACATGACTGGTTAGCTACAAATAAATTGACTTTAAATACAAAAAAATTGAAATCTTATTTTTCGCCCTAGACAAAAGCAAATCTGTTATCTTCCACAAACAGGTATATTTAATGGTAAAAATAGGAATATTAGGGTTACATCAAGTATTTAGGTGTTTGATCTATGGAAATCTTTCTTGGAAAAACCATTTGGACTGTGTTATCACTAAAATAAGACCATAGGAATGATTGCTAAGCGTAGACACTTTGCTCCATCATCTGTACTCACAAATATTTATAAATCCTTAATTTTACCTTATTTAACTTATGGACTCGTTTTTGGGGTAATACATCTTAAAACTGTCTAAAAAAAATTGTTGTTCTCCAAAGGCGAGTATTATGTCTAATCTACTTTGTTGACAAAGAAGAACATGCAATCCCCTTATTTGTAAATGCGAAAATTCTGCCTATTACCTTCTTATATTATGAAGCTGTACGTAAATTAATGCTCGATGTTCATAACGATAGTGCACCCTCTAACATCATGAAACTTTTCAAGAGAACTTCAAACACCCATACATGTACTACTCGCTCATCAACGTCACAAGTCTTTAGCATTAGTACTCTAGGCTTAAAATGGAAAAAAAAAGGCTTTTCGTGAGTTGGTGTCAAAGTGTGAATACAAAAATTTGTCAAAGAAATCCTTCAAAAAAGAAACAAAAGACCTCTTCTTAATATTCTAAAAACTGAAGATTCTTATAGGGAGCCTGATGATAATATTAAAATTAAAACACAGCAAAATTGAATAGTTCTACAATATTTTTCGTAGACTTAGAACGCTAGGACTTTTTCTCCTTTACAATGAACATCTGCCATTTTCCTTTTTTTCTTTTTTTTGCGTATCTTTTTGTCCTTTTATGTTATATTTCTTTATTTCTGTTTTATTTCCAGCGTAATTAAATAAAGTCAGTAAAGAAAAATAAATAAATAAAAAAATTTGATCCGCTTCGATTAGCATTTGCTATCGTGGGTCAAAGGAGTATCTTGTAAATAGGTAAGACAATAGAAAATAAAGTGCGAAAAAGTGTGAAAGTGTACCTTCGAAAATTTGCTCAAAACATTAGGAACAACGACGAAGGTCCCAAGCTGTTTGAACATACCACTGACTAGCATGTGTGTTGATTGCTTTGCAATTTGTGAGAACATCGCCCGCAGGTTCCAGACCAGACCTCGTCTGGTCTCTTATCCCTTTGAAGAAACTCTTCTACAGCCTGTGCTGAAGAGTTTTATTTATGAAGGGCTGGAAAGTAACCTAACAAGAGCTCTGCTTTTAGGCTTAGCTAAATCTATTTATTATACAATAACTTTGTAGGATTTGCCAAAAACACGATATATGTTACCGCTGTCATTTTGGATTTTAGAAAACTCACTCGACAATGATCGGTGTTTTCCTGGATTTTTGCAAAGCTTTCGACACTCCCAACCATCAAATTTGGTTGCCAAATTGGAGCACTATGGTAGCCGTGACGTGGCTTTGGAGTGGTTTAAAAGCTACTTTTCTTGCCGCTAGTAATTTTTCCAATTCAACAAAGCTCGTTCTCCTATGCAACCTATCAAATGTGGTGTCCCTCAAGGTTCGATTCTAGGCCCTCTATTGTTCATTATATACATAAATGACCTCCCTAATGCCTCTTAATTAACAGACCCTCTACTTTTAGCTGCCAATACTATTACCTTTCATTTTCATTCAAACACAAATTCCTTAGAATCCACTCAATGATGAACTCCAAAATATTTATATTCGGCTAAAATGTAATAAGATTTCAGTAAATATAAAGAAAACTCACTATGTCATTTTTAACCCAGACCGAAGAAATTTAACTGTCGCATTTCTCTCTCCTTTGGGGTAAACCCCTACAACAGTCCAATATAAATAAATTCCTTGGGGGGAATTATTTGACTATCATCTCACCTGGAAACAGCACATCAGCTAGATACGTGAACAAATTGAAAAATCAATGGCGATTATATTCAGGTCTTGCTTTTTCCTCTCCTCTACGAACAAACTCACTTCCTATCACACTTTAATTTATCCTTCTATTGTCTACTGTAACTCTGCCTGATCGACCACATATGTATCTAGCTTGAAGAGAATTTTACTTTTTGCAAAAGCAAGCTGTGCGGACTATTACCAACTCAGATTATCGAGTCCATTTAACTCCTTTACTCTCCAGATATTTCTTAGATATTTTTCAAGTCGATACATTTGAATTAACCCAAAAACAAAAGACAAAAGCTTTTTCTTGAATAAAAAATAGACATTTAGTAAAAACTTTAGGAAGAAATTTGAGCTTACCTTTCCCAGGGGAACAAACCTCGCCAGCAGGAACTAGTGGAACAAAATGATCTGGCCCTCCTCTAGGTGAAGGGTTAGCTGATGTCCACATGATTACCAATGGTTCCAATATCAAACGACCATCCCGAGGATGAATATCATCATTAAAAATCTCCTCAATCCGTCCGCTACCTTCTGGAAAAACAACCTTTACTGGACGCCGAATGACAGTTGGCAGTGCCTCAACATGCCAGTGTGATGCCGAATTGAATTGTTTGCAAGTTTCACGCACCTCTCCTTTAAATGCCACTTTAATAAGCGATGTGTCCAATGCCTTGCTACTTGACGTACCAAGTAAATATTCTTCTATAACACGAATTCTTTCTTCAACATTAGGGACGGTTAAATGATATTGTATGTTACACGCAAGCTCCACCACTATTCTCACTCGCATTTCTAGATGTTTACTTTCATCCCCAAAGGCTAGTACCGATGCTGTGCGAAAAAAACAATTTCCATCCCCAGAGGTTCTAAGGGCAACATAGTCACCATTCAATTTGCCAGTTGGTATACGTTTCTGAGAACTTTCATCAATATTTAAGCAAAACTTTCCTTTTTTCTTCATAGTCAAAGGAGGTATGTGAGGTTGTAACTGGTTTGCCTTATTGCATAGGTCATCAAATCCAGCTTGAGATGCTTCCCGGAGATCATTTAGATAAGCGTTATAATCTAAATAGAAAAGAATGACAAAACACGAGATGATAACTTCCTTAAAAGTTGGGGTAGAGGGGGAAGGAGACATATCACATTTACTTATATCATTAGTTGGTCAAGTATCCTCAGTTGGCCAAGGGAGACATATCACATGTACTTATATCATTAGTTGGCCAAGTATCGACCAATACTATCAATACTTAAGAAGAGTTTGAAAGGGTTAGAGAGAGAAAGTTAATATGCAAGTAGAAAAGATAGAGCTCATTAACAAGAGCACACAGTGTGTTGTCCGAGTATTGGTAAAGTATCAGCTGAGTGTCGCTAAAGTATCAGTCAAGTATTGAGCGTGTATCATCTGACATACCTGCCAGTTGAGTGGTGACAATTTTGATTGCATGATGAAAATTTGAGAGGTTTTCTAATGGGAAGCTGAGCTATGTAGTATGATTCAGAAATGATCATCGGTTTGGCCAGCTGCACAGAAGGGTTATTGTAAATGGTACAGGAGTAAGAAGCAGGGCCAATGCTCCTTAAATTTTAATTTTAGAGTCAGGGTAGATGATTTAAATTACTGATAAAACTGCTGTATTGTTTCAGCTGGTGAGTAAAACACTCAGTTACTTAGTATAAAGAATATCTATTGTTTGAAAGATAAATTTCCACATCAACCTTGGGGAGTTTTTGGTTGAAGAAGATGATTGTGCTATTTTCTACATTGGCACAATATAGTTCTTTTACCAGCTAGGCCATCAAAGACCATTCTGACGAGGCTCCTCTGATTTGAGAGTGACATATGTAACAGTATCTAATCTCGTATAATTAAAATGTAACGTAACGATTTCTCTATGTCATGCATGTTGATTACGTAACGTGTAATTTATCACGTGCGGTATTGTTCCCGACCACATCCTTTTGTAATAATGGCTGAATAAACTACTTGAGTTGAACTACGAGTCTATTTACATTGTTGTTAGGAGTGGGATCTTCGATTAATAGGTCAGAAAACCTATCAAGACTCAAGACAAAACTCAAGAGCAGAATTCAAGAACGAAATGAGCGATCTAATAGGTTTCGAATCACCAAAAATAGACTGGACTCCTAGACCAGATTTACCTGAGAGGTTCAAGCATTTCCGACAGAAATGTGAACTTCTATTTTGTTGGATAATTACCTTCTGTGGACTGGTGACTATAGTCTAGACTTATTCAACACTCGGAACTTGAGCAGTGAAGAACAAAAGAAACTCGATGAATACTAGACGTGATTCGAAGAGCATGTGAAACCCCAGTCCAACCACATACTTAAGCGCTTCTATCTCCAAAACCTGAGGCAAAACGGATGACCCCTCGATGATTTCCTGACAGAGGCCAAGCTGTTGATCCAAAAGAGTGGCTATTTGTCCAAGCTCCATGACTAATTACTGAGAGACGCTCACGTGTTCGGCGTTGACTCTAACATTGTGTGAAAGAAATGTATTGCTGAAGGAAGTGACCTCATACTCAAGAAAGCCAGAGAAATTGCTTGCACTGACAAAGCTACCAGGCTACAGCTGCAAGCAATGACAAGCAAAGCAGATAAAACACAAGTCAACTCACTACAAAGAGCCAAAGGCAATGCAAAAGCCAAACAAAGAGGCCAGAGAGACAACAAAGGCAGAAAACAAAGAAACGACAAGCAACTATGCCAGTGATGTGGCGATGATTCCCATACAGGCAACGAAAAGTGTCCAGCTGGTGGTGTTGAATGCCACTATTGCCACAAATGGGGTCATTTCAGCAAAGTTTGCCAGAAAAGAAACCAAGTACACGAAGTACAGAACCATACAGCCAGTAACCAAAAAAATAACTCTGACTTGACCTATGATGATATGCTCCTAGGATCACTTGAGGTAGATAGCGTAGACAACAACAACTGCAACAAAGTCTTCAAAACAGTTGAAATAACTGCTAAGCCTTACCAGAAAACTACCTCAATAGTATGCAAAATAGACACATGTGCAGAGACTAATATAATGCCTAAGACTAAGTTTGAAAAGATCATTGCCTCTCCTAATGACAGAACACTTGGATCACCCCAGATCCTCACAGCTTATGGTGGCCAAAAGATGGAATGCATGGGCACCTGTCAGCTATTTATCCATCACAAAGATAGGATAAAGGAAGTAACCTTCACAGTAACCAATGTACAAGGACCTGCCATGCCAGGATGTAAGACACGTGAGGAACTCAGATTTGTCAACATCAACTGCAGCATAGAGAACCTCCTACTGCTAACCAAGGAAACCCTCCTAAGCAGCTACCCAGACCGCCTCAAAGGACTAAGAACATTTAAGGACATGAAACCTTACCAAATTATGCTTGACCCAGCAACAGAACCAGTCATACACCCACTGCAGTCAGTTCCAATGCACCTTAAAGACCTTTACCGAAAGGAGCTAGATGACATGCTGAATCTCGGTGTCATCACACCTACTGACAGGCCCACTGACTGGGTCAACATTATTGTGTTGAGTGAGACAAAGAACAACAATGGCGACGTCACCAAGCTCAGAGTCTGTTTAGACCCCTGTCACCTGAACAAATGGGCAAAAAGGGAACATTATTGTTAAAAGACAGTTGATGAGGTGGTGACCAAGCTCAACGGCACTAAATTCTTCACCATTGTCAACGCAAAAAAGGGTACCAACAAGTACCACTTGACACAGAGAGCTTCTACCTCACAACTTTCGGCCTGCCATTTGGCTGATATCACCTCAAAGGTCTCCCACTTGTTGTTTCACAAGACGTGTTTCAAAAGCAGCTTGACAGTAACCAATGTACAAGGCATTCGAAGACCTTGATTGCGTTACTGGTATCGCTGACGACACATTTGTATATGGATCATCTGAAGTTAAGCATAAAGGGGTAAGTTTCTAAAGAAACTGTGGTGCTGCGTCGGTGGGAGAGTATAGCAGGTAATTTAGTGTTAACAATTGGGTTGAAAACCTGACGTTTCGAGCGTTAGCCCTTCGTCAGAGCGATGCCATCGAAATGCTCGAAACGCTCGAAACATCGATAATGCTTGAAACGTCAGCTTTTTTACTCTTTACGGTGGCTAATTTACGTTTTTACGCCACAAGGAATCAAACCTGACGACAAGCAACTATCAACAATCCTAGATATGAAACCGCCTGAGGATGTCCAGAGCCTACATAGCTTCCTTGGATTCGTGAACTATCTGACAAGATATTCCAGACGCCTATTTACCTTGTCAGCACCACTGAGGGACCTGACCAAGTAAAAAACAGCGTACTCCTGGGGACCTAAGCACAACCGAGCCTTCACCAGGGTCAAAAAAAAAGTCTCGTCACTTGGTGTACTTAGGTACTTTGACACAACAGAAGGGTGTGGTATTCAACAAAGACAAAGTGCACTTCAAGTGTAAGGACGTCAGCTTCTTTGGACACACCTGGACACCACAAGGAATCAAACCTGATGACAAGACAGTATCAGCAATCCTAGACATGAAACCGTCTGACGATGTCAAGAGCCTACAGAGCTTCCTTGGCTTAGTCAACTATCTGAAGAGATAATCCAGACACCTGGCTACCTTGTCAGCACCACTGAGGGGCCTGCCCAAGAAAGACACAGCGTACTCCTGGGGACCTGAGCACAACCGAGCCTTCACCATGGTCAAGAAAGAAGTCTCATCACTTGGCGCACTTAGCTACTACGACCTGCATGCAGAAACCGTCATTGAAACTGATGCCTCGCCAAAAGGATTAGGCGCTGTACTACTACAAGACGGACAGCCCGTCTGCTATGCCTCTAAAGCCTTTACCAAGACTGAACAGCAATACAGTAACATTGAACATGAGGCACTCGGCATCACCTGAGGGCTTGAAAGGTTCCATTACTTCATCTATGGCAAGTCCTGCACTATCCACACAGATCACAAGTCGCTCGAGATGATCTTCAAGAAAAAACTAAGCAACTGCCCTGTGAGAGGTTTGTAGTATGAGCTCTGAAGTACAACGTTACTATGAAGTATGCAAAGGGAGCAAAATTACCCATTGCCGATGCCCTCTCCAGAGTATCACCACAGCCAGCTCCACCTGTAGGAGAATTCCCACAGTTAGACATCCACCAGATCACAAAGAATCTTCCAGCATTACTTATAAAGCTTCAACAGATTCGCAACAAGACAGGCAACGACCCAATGATAAGCAAACTCTGCGATGTAATATATGAAGGGTACCTTGCGACAAGGGAGAAATGCCCTAAAGCACTCCACAACTACTGGAACTTCCGTGAGGAACTCATCATCGAGGACGGCCTCATTAGTATTTTGGTTAGGCATCACCAGAAATGTCACCAGCCTAGTCCAAAACTGTGGCACCTGCCAAGCACATCAAAGAAAACAACCACTCTGCCACCCATGGCAGATGCTTAGCTCAGATCTGTTTGAGTTCAAAGGAAACCAATACCTACTGATATTTGAAAAGTTCAGCAAGTTTCCAATTATTAGGAAGCTCATCAGCACTACCTCCCGTGCCATCATCAACCACCTGAAAAGCATCTTTGCTGAACATGGGATACCGGAACGGCTTACCAGAGGCAACGGTCTTCAGTATGCATCAGGGGAACTCCGCAACTTCATGCAGGCCTATGGAGTAGAACATGTTCCCAGCTCTCTGATGTACCCCCAGTATAATGGTTCTGCAGAACCCATGGTTTAGACAGTAGAGGATACCCTCAAGAAATGTGATGAAGAAGGAGAAGACCCCTATCTTGGACTACTACCCTACAGTATGACACCTGTCAGCAGCAACTCGAAATCTCCAGCAGAACTGCTCAACAACCATAAGTTTAGGACCACTCTATCAATGTTCAAGGGTGTAGGTGTCAGTGACACTACCAGTATGACAAAGGAAGAGCTGTACCAGAGACAAAAGCTACAAGCAATCTACTAAAACAAGGTTGCTGGACGGACACTGCAACCACTTCAACCAGGTCAGCCAATCAACATCTATGACCACCACACTCAGAGATGGAAACGAAGAACAGTTATCAGACCTGCCAAGGAACCAAGATCCTTCATCATTAAGAATGACCGAACAGAAGGTGTCTACCATCGCACTCGATCACTGATTTCGTATGATTATTATGTAACGTCACGATTTCTCTGTGTTACGCATGTTGATTACGTAACGTGTAATTTATCACGTGCGGTATTGTTACCGACCACATGCTTTTGTAGTAATGGCTGAATAAACTACTTGAGTTAAACTACGAGTCTATTTACAACAGAACTTTAACGTAACTTAAATCAAAACTTGGACTCTTTACCTGGTTCGCGTGCAATTGGTGAATCAACTTCATCTTTTCTTGTACTAGCTGAATACAATCAAAGTGATCTTATTAATAAATGTACGGCACTCCTGTCAAGTGCTCATGGCTTGAACATGATGAAGGTAGAAAACGGTGATTTCAAAATCAAGGGGCGGGGAGGGGCATGGAAGTAGATCGGTGGATTGGCACATTTAGATTTCAAAACGAACAGATCATGAATTTTTTGGAGTTACAGATTTGTGAAAAACTGGATCACCCACCAATCACCTGACAGGTTCAAACATTTTTGGTTCTCCAATATTAGTAAGCTAGTTTTTCAAAGTTTTGGCAGCACTGTTCAGTTCTTGGTTTCATCAATTCAGTTTATATTCTACCAAATTTTAACCAAACCATTCAAGAGAGAGGACTATCGTTAAAATCTAAACACCATAGAACTGGTGAAAAACATGGATGCACAGTCATAAACAGTAAACTAATATCACATAAAGATTTTAAGTGAAGAGAAGGTGGATTTGAAAGGTGATGGATCGTGCGAGTCAAAAAGTCGCTCAAATTGACAGATTGATATATATCCCAATTAAATACACATTCTCAGCTGTGAACAGAACACTAATATCATGACAAAGAATTGAAAATTGTGTCTGTGTTATTCAAATAAGAATTAAGAGAAAAGAAACACACTGGGACCACAGTGGACTTGAAGCAGAAAATTCATACAAATTTAGCCCTCTAACGCACATAATTTTGCAAGCAACTAACTTAAATGCATAATAAATGTTCAGATGATATTTGGCTCACAAGGCTCGTCAGGGCTTTGGAGTAGGCTGAACTGAGCATTGATACAGGATAATGAAATCTCATAGGCCACCCCTTCAGGCCATGGTACATGCTAAATAAATGCAACTTTTGCAATCATTTTTTTTTTAACAAAAGCCCCAGCAAGCATGCTATAACAACGAGAGCTGTACATGAAATGCTTCTTTCAGTTTAAAAGTTAATACTTTAAGGTTAGCCGTCCAAGAATCAAAAATTGGACTCCTTACCTGGTTTGTGAATTCGTGAATCAACTTCATCTTCTCCCGTACCAACTGAAAACAGTCAAAGTGATCTTATTAGTAAATGTACGGCACTGCTGACAAGCGCTCACGGCTTGAACATGATGAAGGTAGAAAACCTTCAGCTGATAGGTTCAAACATTTTTGGTTGACCAATATTGGTAAGCTAGTTTCTCAAAGTTTTGGCAGCACTGTTCAGCTCTTGGTTTCATCAATTCAGTATATATCCTACCAAATTTTAACCAAAACCAATCAAGAGAGAGGACCATGGTTAAAATCTAAACTCGTAGAACTGATGAAAAACATGGATGTACACTCATAAACAGTAAACTAATATCACAGAAAGTTTTTTTAAGTGAAGAGAAGGTGGATTTGGAAGGTGACAGATTGGTATATCCCAATTAAATACACAATCTCAGCTGTGAACAGAACACTAATATCATGACAACGCATTGGGAATTATATCTGTGTTATTCAAATAAAAATTAAGACAAGGAGGTGCAGCGTTATGTTAGATGGATCACAACCAAGATGGTCTCTCGTCCCTCTTAAGATTGAAGAAAACCTTACATTAATGGTCTTTCCAGGATTTGCCAGTCATTAGTTAAATTATTTAGCTATTGTAAACAACTGGTCACTCGCAGAGAATTCTAACTGGAACCTGCCAAAAAAAAACTTGAAGTAGGGACTTCCCCCTTTTAATCAGTTTTCCACAAGAGTCAAGATCAAGAGGAAATGTTAGGTAAATTAATTATTGTCAGGCTAGCAGGCAGTTGAAGATTAGTAATTGAAATCAGACGAGGAGAATTGGTAATTGTGAAGGGCACAATAACTATTTTGTAAATCAGACCAAGAGCTGTACATGAAATGCTTCTTTCAGTTTAAAAGTTAATATTTTAAGGTTAGCCGTCCAAGATAAAGTCTACCATTCTTGCTTATCGTGCCAGCATTGGAACATTACTCAGGCATTTTTCACTATATGACTCTTTGGTAGCTTTTATTAAAATAGTGTAGAGCATGTCAGGCATACCATATTTCTTGACAGGGGCAATGCTTGGTGTTCTGCCGCTCTTTGACGAAGATTGCCCCCTGGCATGCTCATCTTTCGTTTCTTTGAATCTTCTATCTGGAGTACCTGTCACATTCACTGGTTGCCCCTTCTCATTTGTGCCCAGGAGTTTGCGGTTTTCTTTACATCTCCAGTCTAAACTGCCGTCCTTTTTCATCGGGAGATTGGGGTCATCACTTTCTGGAAACAAAATCAATATATAATTATGCCCAGTGATGTCATGATATTGATAAACCATCCATTTTGGCTGTTTGTCCATTTTATACACTTAGGAATACTTTAGACTCATAAGGAGGTGCAGCTTTATGTTAGATGGGTCAAAAGCAAGATGGAAAGTACCACTACCACTAGTTTACGTCGTAGTACAGCAAGTGAAAAAACATCTGGATAGCCATCTTCATCCTTCTTTTCTATTTGCTCCTCCTCCAATTTCCTCTGTTCCTCCTCCTTCTTTCTTTGTTATTCTTTCTTTTGTTTTCTCCTCTCCCTTTTCTCTTGCTGTTCCTTCTTAGCTTATTTTGAAATTAATAAAATCCTTACTAATTGCTAAAAAAAGCTTGAATGAATGAAACTAAATCAAGTTTACTGCAACTACCGCTGTTTCCAAGTAAAACGGAAGTAGACAGTCATTCTGTTTTAATGTTCCATAAATGTGTGAATCAAGTAATGTATTTGCAAAAAGTACTGGTTTATGAATTTATTGCAAGCAACCTTAATATTATAGATGTGTTCGGGGTAATCAATGTACTGTAAGCAATTTTGTGTCCAGCAAATAATATGTAAGTTTGCATAGATTTTAAACCACTGATCTTTAATCATTTCTTGTTAGAAATAACTAGATGATGAATGACATAGTGGACAACACATTAACGTGCTAGGCTTTGTTGCATGTTTGGATTAAATAATGATAAAAAAGTTGATTGTTGGTGGGTCGATGAATTTGGTCTTAAAATCTTTCACTTCAGATTTAGACAGATATGTACATATATAAAATAATGTGGATCACACATCATTCTCTCTAATTTTTGGAAGGTTCGTAAGTTTTGACCACCTGCTGTCCTTTGTAAGGTAGTGTATTAGTATTATGGCGGCATGGTTCAATCCTGTTTTCATCAATCTAGTTTATAGCTTATTTCCCTCTACACCAGGCTGTACAATTTCCCAACCGCTAACCCCCACGTATGGACAATGGTCAATTGTCAATTTTGTGGTTTGCTAGAGCAAATTCAATTTTCTTAGAAATATTATAAATATACAGTGGCAATACCTTACTGCACATCTGAGGTCAGAGAGGATCAAGGATCAACAAAAGCCAGTCAGTCTGTCATTCAGTCAGTAAGTCAATCGGTTAGCAGTAACCTACATACTGATATCATCATCCATCACCAGAGGTTACCGAATTAATTAAGAGCAAATATCAGAGAAAGACGTCGTGTATTTCCAGCCAGAGGACAATCATGAAACAGGAATAGCCAAAAGCGAAAAGGTTTTAAGAAATTACAGGTTCAAACACGAGCTGAATATTACTTTTCTTTTTAGCTCGTGAATTGCGCGCATGCGCAAGAGCGAGTTATAGATACGATGTGGGGAATAGCATTCGCTCACTCGCTCGATTGGTCGATTCCTGTAAACTTTTTTTCGATTTTAGGCTTTTGAGTGCATTTGATAGTTTTTGGCGAGCAATAAACAAACGAAATGACGACCTTTGGTGCTAAGAATAGTGGTGGGGTGAAAAAGAAGCCAATGATAATCTTAAAAGAGTGTTTTTTTTTCGTTTTAGTTTCAACAAGCGGCGCCAGCGACTGGCAGGCAAGCTAGGATTCACACTGAAATAACAGAACCTTCGTTTTTCATAAAATTGTAATTCTCAATCCTTGAACTTGAAAACAATCCGAAGAAGCGCACGGAGTTTACAGATGTTCAAAAGCTTTTCTTGTTATGGCGTGAGATTGAGGACAAAATCGATCATTACGTTTGGTATCGTGTGTTTTTCTTGTGTGAAGCAACAAAAGATGCCGACGACTGACGAAATTACAAGTAAACACGAAAATAAAATAACGCCTAAACAAATAATTTTAGCTACCGATTTTCAGTGAATTTTTAACGAACAATTTTCTTTTAAGGTTCAAGACAATTTGAAGATTCAAAGTACGTATTACGTACTAAAATGCGAAAGTTATAAACCACAAAATTGATAAATAAGCCTGAAATGAAATTCTATCTTGTTATTGATTATACGTTGCCTAGCACGTGACTAAAATCTACCCAGGCGGAGATCCAAAATGACGGTGGCAGTCTTGGCTTAGTTATATCACTCAAACTCGTTCCCGTTTGTCTCATTTGATAAAGAGGGAATCGTTAAAGTTTTCATTAAGACAGTATTGCCTTGATTTTCTAATTTTTACAATGATAGACAGTAAATTTCACTTTTCACCCACATTTACTTCCAACCTTTTCTTTTGAACCAAAAACAAAAATGATATACGTTTAAAACACATGACATCATCCACCCTTGTCAAATGTAATAGCATGATCATTTCAATTTCAATTACTTTGTTTCTTTGCTACATTAGTGAACACTGAACTACTGCTTGTACTTTAGATACGACAATCAACCACAAAATTCCCTAAACCAGATAACATTAAACATAATCGAAAAAATCATGTGTCAATTCACGAGTTTGCTCATAGAGCACTTTGATTAATTTTCTACGCTAAACAGAGGAGGTTAAAACGTTAGGGAAAAGCAATAGGGCAAGCAGTCATACCTGGCAACCTCAAGAGAAGATATAAGAGAAGCCCATACCATTCTGGCGTATTGTTTCACTGACTCACTGTGCTCACCAAATATACACTCCAATCGACTAGTGATGTCTTAATACAAAGTAGTTTGCCGTCGTTTCTTTCAATTTTGGCTCATTTTTCCAAACCGAAATAATAACTCCCGCCCTAAGAAATACAATTTCAACTGATGCTGACGTCATACACTTTGTCAGAAGAAGAAAACACACCCTATCTTATATAAACTTAATTTTATGGTTTTCGAGGGATTATCAACGAGTGGTTCCAGTCGTACTCAACAAATCAAACGCAAACAACTCAAATTGGATCGCACGTATCAACTAAACTAATTTCTCCCTGTGGTGTCTCTCGTGGTTCGGTTTTAGGACAACTTCTCTTTTTACTTTATATAAATGACATTCACCTCTGTTCCAATAAACTTCAATTTTTCTTATTTGCGGATGACACTAATATTCTCTATGCCGACAAGGACCACAATTCTTCAGAACAGACAGTCAATGCTGAACTGAACAATTTACATGACTGGTTAACTACAAATAAATTGACTTTAAATACAAAAAAATTGAAATCTTATTTTTCGCCCTAGACAAAAGCAAATCTGTTATCTTCCACAAACAGGTATATTTAATGGTAAAAAATAGGAATATTAGGGTTACATCAAGTATTTAGGTGTTTGATCTATGGAAATCTTTCATAGATTTCATAAAAGGCTTTTCGCGAGTTGGTGTATCTTTTTGTCCTTTTATGTTATATTTCTTTATTTCTGTTTCATTTCCAGTGTAATTGAATCAAGTCGGTTAAGAAAAAATAAATAAATAAAAAAATTTGACCCGCTTCGATTAGCATTTGCTATCGTGGGTCAAAGGAGTATCTTGTAAATAGGTAGGAAAATAAAGTGTGAAAAAGTGTGAAAGTGTATCTTCGAAAATTTGCTCAAAACATTAGGAACAACGACGAAGGTCCCTAGCTGTTTGAACATACTACTGACTAGCATGTGTGTTGATTGCTTTGCAATTTGTGAGAACATCGCCCGCAGGTTCCAGACCAGACCTCGTCTGGTCTCTTATCCCTTTGAAGAAACTCTTCTACAGCCTGTGCTGAAGAGTTTTATCGCAGTTTTTATTCAGTATAATGAAGGGCTGGAAAGTAAACTAACAAGAGCTCTGCTTTAAGGCTTAGCTAAATCTATTTATTATACAATAACTTGCTAGAAGTTGCCAAAAACACGATATATGTTACCGCTGTCATTTTGGATTTTGGAAAACTCACTCGACAATGATCGGTGTTTTCTTGGCCATTTTCTACATTGGCACAATGCAGTTCTTTGACCAGCTAGGCCACCAGAGACCATTCTAACGAGGCTTCTCTGATTTGAGAGTGACATATGTAACAGTATCTAATCTCGTATAATTAAAATGTAAGGTAACCATTTCTCTATGTGATGCATGTTAATTACGTAACGCGTAATTTATCACGTGCGGTATTGTTCCCGACCACATCCTTTTGTAATAATGGCTGAATAAACTACTTGAGTTGAACTACGAGTCTATTTACATGGTTGTTAGGAGTGGGATCTTCGATTAATAGGTCAAAAAACCCATCAAGACTCAAGACAAAACTCAAGAGCAGAATTCAAGAACGAAATGAGCGATTTAATAGGTTTCGAATCACCAATAATAGACTGGACTCCTGGACCAGATTTACCTCAGAGGTTCAAGCGTTTCCGACAGAAATGTGAACTTCTATTTTGATGGACCACTCAAGGCACGAACCAATGAGCAGAGATGTCGATAAGTCCTTCTGTGGACTGGTGACTACGGTCTAGACCTGTTCAACACTGGGAACTTGAGCAGTGAAGAACAAAAGAAACTTGATGAATACTGGACGTGATTCGAAGAGGATGTGAAACCCCAGTCCAACCACATACTTAAGTGCTTCTATCTCCAAAACCTGAAGCAAAACGGATGACCCCTCGATGATTTCCTGACAGAGGCCAAGCTGTTGATCCAAAAGAGTGGCTATTTGTCCAAGCTCCATGACTAATTACTGAGAGACGCTCTTGTGTTCGGCGTTGATTCTGACATTGTGTGAAAGAAATGTTTTGCTGAAGGAAGTGACCTCACACCCAAGAAAGCCAGAGAAATCGCTCGTACTGACAAAGCTACCAGGCTACAGCTGCAAGCAATGACAAGCAAAGCAGATAAAATACAAGTCAACTCACTACAAAGAGCCAAAGGCAATGCAAAAACCAAACAAAGAGGCCAGAGAGACAACAAAGCCAGAAAACAAAGAAACGACAAGCAACTATGCCAGTGATGTGGCAATGATTCCCATACAGGCAACGAAAAGTGTCCAGCTAGTGGTGTTGAATGCCACTGTTGCCACAAACGGGGTCGTTTCAGCAAAGTTTGCCAGAAAAGAAACCAAGTACACGAAGTACAGTACCATACAGCCAGTAACCAAAAAAATAACTCTGACTTGACCTATGATGGTATGCTCCTAGGATCACTTGAGGGAGATAGCGTAGACAGCGTAGACAGCGTAGACAACAACAACCGCAACAAAGTCTTCAAAACAGTTGAAATAACTACTAAGCCTTACCACAAGAGAAGTACCTAAATAGTATGCAAAACAGACACAGGTGCAGAGACTAATGTAATACCTAAGACTAAGTTTGAAAAGATCATTGCCTCTCCTAATGACAGAACACTTGGATCACCCTAGATCCTCACAGCTTATGGTGGCCAAAAGATGGAATGCATGGGTACCTGTCAGCTATTTATCCATCACAAAGATGGGATAAAGGAAGTAACCTTCACAGTAACCAATGTACAAGGAGCCGCCATGCCAGGATGTAGGACATGTGAGGAACTCAGATTTGTCACCATCAACTGCAGCATAGAGAATCCCCTACTGCTAACCAAGGAAACCCTCCTAAGCAGCTACCCAGACCGCTTCAAAGGACTAAGAACATTTAAGGACATGAAACCTCACCATATTACGCTTGACCCAACAGCAGAACCAGTCATACACCCACTGCGGTCAGTTCCAGTGCACCTTAAAGACCTTTACCAAAAGGAACTAGATGACATGCTGAATCTCGATGTCATCACACCTACTGACAGGCCCATTGACTGGGTCAACAGTATTGTGTTGAGTGAGACAAAAAACAACAATGGAGAAGTCACCAAGCTCAGAGTCTGTTTAGACCCCTGTCACCTGAACAAATGGGCAAAAAGGAACATTATTGTTCAAAGACAGTTGATGAGGTGGTGACCAAGCTCAACGGCACTAAATTCTTCACCATTGTCAATGCAATAAAGGGGTACTGGCAAGTAACACTTGATGAAGAGAGCTTCTACCTCACAAACTTCAGCCCGCCATTTGGCTGATATCACCTCAAAGGTCTTCCACTTGGCCTTGTTATTTCACAAGACGTGTTTCAAAAGCAGCTTGACACAGCATTCAAAGGCCTCGATGGCGTTACTGGTATCGCTGATGACACATTTGTATATGGATCATCTGAAGTTAGGCATGACAGAAACCTGAATAGACGCCACAAGGAATCAAACCTGACGACAAGAAAGTATCGGCAATCCTAGACATGAAACCGCTTGAGGATATCCAGAGCCTACAGAGGTTCCTTGGCTTCGTGAACTATCTGACGAGATATTCCAGAGACCTATTTACCTTGTCAGCACCACTGAGGGACCTGACCAAGAAAGAAACAGCATACTCCTGGGGACCTGAGCACAACCGAGCCTTCACCAGGGTCAAGAAAAAAGTCTCATCACTCGGTGTACTTAAGTACTTCGACGCAACAGAAGGGTGTGGTATTCAACAAAGACAGAGTGCACTTCAAGTGTAAGGAAGTCAGCTTCTTTGGACACTCTTGGACACCACAAGGAATCGAACCTGACGACAAGCAAGTATCAGCAATCCCTAGACATGAAACCGCCTGACAATGTCAAGAGCCTACAGAGCTTCCTTGGCTTAGTCAAATATCTGACAAGACATTCCAGACGCCTAGCTACCTTGTCAGCACCACTGAGGGACCTGCCCAAGAAAGACACAGCGTACTCCTGGGGACCTGAGCACAACCGAGCCTTCACCATGGTCAAGAAAGAAGTCTCATCACTTGGCACACTTAGGTACTTCGACCTGCATGCAGAAACCGTCATTGAAACTGATGCCTCGCCAAAAGGATTAGGCACTGTACTACTACAATATGGACAGCCTGTCTGCTATTCCTCTAAAGCCCTTACCAAGACTGAACAGTGATACAGTAACATTGAACATGAGGCACTTGGCGTCACTTGTGGACTTGAAAGGTTCCATTACTTCATCTACAGCAAGTCCTACACTATCCACACAGATCACAAGTCGCTCAAGGCGATCTTCAAGATAAAACTAAGCAACTGCCCTGTGAGATTACAGGGGTTTGCACTACGAGCTCTGAAGTACGATGTTACCGTGAAGTATGTAAAGGGCACCGAAGTACCTGTTGCCGATGAGCTCTCCAGAGTATCACCACAGCCAGCTCCACCTGTAGGAGAATTCCCACAGTTAGACATCCACCCGATCACAAAGAATCTTCCAGCATCACTTATAAATCTTCCACAGATTCACAACAAGACAGCCAACAACCCAACAATAAGCAAACTCCGCAATGTGATGCATGAAGGGTAGCCCGCGACAAGGGAGAAATGCCCTAAAGCACTCCACTACTATTGGAACTTCCGTAATAATTATGCCCAGCGATGTCATGATATTGATAAACAATCCATTTTTGCTGCTTGTCCATTTTACACACTCAGGAATACTTTAGTCCCTTATAAATGGACCTGCAGATGATCTTCTTCACCCGTTCCATCACTGAATTTTTAAGCGCTTCGAATCAGTACAAATGGTTGTGATACAAAATGACGGGATGCCCTTGCATTGCTGTAAGAATTTTTGAATTTGTAAGAAAATTACGCTAAGTAGAAGAACTCTTATGCTGCTGATCCTAAAAGAGAGAGATTAGCGGATAATCATGTGATTTGTGTGATGCAGAATAGAGAAATAGACAAATCGTCTTACAGGAACCAGTAACAGAGACAAGAATATTAACAACGTCAGACAATTGCAAATTTTGCTTACTGCTTTTTAAGTCAGCTGTATTATTTTCTCCTTCAAGATTTCCAGGAGTCTGGCCATCACTTTCTGCAAACAAAATCAAAATATAATTATGCCCAGTGATGTCATGATATTGATAAACCATCCATTTTTGCTGCTTGTCCATTTTATACACTTAGGAATACTTTAGTTCCTTACAAAGCAAAAAAAATTTATGTGTAAATGTAATGGTAAGTTTTTTGCAATGTTCTTTTACTAACATTCTGTATGATATTACTTGAGCGCCTGTCAGATTAATACTTATAAGGAGGTGCAAAATACAGTAGGACCACAGTGGGACATGAAGCAGAAAATTCATACAACTTTAGCCTTCTACCACACATAATTTTACAAGCAACTAGCTTAAATGCACAATAAATGTTCAGATGATATATAGCTCAAAAGGCTCATCAGGGCTTTGGAATACGCTAAACTGAGTATGGATATAGGAGACTTAAATCTCATAGGCCACTCCTTCAGGCTATGGTACATGCTAAATAAATGCGACTCTTGCAATAACATTTTTCACAAAAGCCCCAGCAAGCAAGTATCTCGATGCCACTGTATAGAGTGGTTTGTTGCTTGCACCAGTCAGATTGTTACATTAGGTTATGTATCTCGCACTAATCAGGTCACAGCATAGGAGCATGTTTGCCCCATCGAAGCGTCAGGGAATTTGCCATCATGTCAATCATATCATGGAATTAGGGTTCTGTAAAATGTTACGATGAAATCAACCCAACATTTACCCAAACTGATGCTATTACAAGATGATTACATTTAGAAGTTTCCATTTCAATATAAATAAAGTATTTTGATCTGAAAAACTATTGGGCATGAATATGTTAAATTGTAGCTTAAAAGGCCATTTTAAGATTCAATCAGGTTTTAAAAACTTTGCTCATCAACGGGGTTTTAACAGCATCGAAAGTTTTTGACTATTAATTCCAGTTTTTATGAAGGGAAATTGTAACACACACTTGCACTAGCTTGCTTGGTCATTGTCATAAACTCACCTCAATCATGCATTACTTTCTCAAATATTTACCATCACAGTTTTGCTGCATTAGCCACCTTTTAGTTCCCCTTCCTATTTCATAAGCCAAAGTTATAGCGGAGCTCGCAGAGCGTAGTCCCATAATTATACAAAATAGTAGTAACCCATCAAGCCGAAAAAATTTGGATGTACGACTGTACGATCGTACAAGGTGCTACTTTTAACATGCGTGATCAACTGTACCGCGGGCACACCAATGCCACGGCTTTGTTCAGTAGTCCAGTGGTCAGTGCACTGGGCTCCGAGTCGGATGACCCAGGTTCTAGTCCTGGCAGGGGCAAGGCGTTGTGCCCTTGAGACGTGCGTGGAAAAAAAAATGCGAGCTCCGCTTTTAGGCGTGGCTAAATCTATATATTATATCAATAACCCCAAGAAAATCCTGCGGTGTGACACTAACCAGATTTGAAGTTGGGCTTTAACTCAGAATATTTATCTGAATTGGTTTTGGTTCATTAAACTTTTGTTATTAGTCAATTGAGAGTGTGATAACTGACCAAACTAACAAACACATAGTCCTATTTAAGTAACTCCTTCTCTTACCATTACAATTTCTAAGAAAAAATATGTATTCATCAAAAGAAAAGCTTGTAATTCCAATCTTTGGACACCTAACCATTACAATCTTTGACATGAACACACTGAGGAGTTCTAGAAACAACTTCCTACATTTTGGGAAATACCTATTGGTACCATTTCATGAGATAAACCGATTGGATGGCAGTTGAGGTAAATGAGGTGTACAAAGACCCCTGTTGATGTTTCCGTATTTCACGAAAATTGCAAAAGATCCCACTTCTGCCTACAAATAGTTGTGATACAAAATGGTGAGATGCCCATGCTTTGCTGTGTGAATTTTTGAATTTGTGAGACAGTAACGTTAAGTAAAAGGACTGTAATGCTGCTGATCTTAAAAGAGAGAGATTAGCTGTTAATCATGTGATTGGTGTGATACAGAATTAAGCAGTGGACATAGCACTTTACAGGTACCAGTAACAGAGACAAGAATATTTACAACGTCAGACAATTGAAAATTTTGCTTACTGCCTTTCAAGTTACCTGCTTGGCCACCACTTTCTGCAAACAAGAAAAAAGCGTAATTAAGCCCAGTATTGTCATGATATTGATAAACCATCCATGTTTGCTGCTTGTCCATTTTACACACTAGGGAAGACTTTAGTCCCTTATAAGACAAAAAATATATCTGTGACAATCTTATGGTAAGTATTTGGCAATGTTCTTTTACTGACATTTGTAAGATATTACATTTAGATACTAATTGTGCACCACCAGTTTCCATCAAAGTAAAGCAGAGAAGAACGCACCTTCCTGGGCATTGTCTATGTCATGTAGATGATATTGCAAAGAAATTGGTCCTTAAGCCAACAACTAAAGAAAGGACCAGTAAGGGAAAAAATACCTAGCTAAGACCTAATCTGTTATTCCTTGCACCAGAAGACTAAACTGGACTGATGCAAATCCATGGGATTTCTTAGGAAAGGCTTTCAAAGAAAAGTGAATATAGGACATGATTGACGGTTTGGCTTATGCTAACTCAGATTACTATATAGCTGGCAGCACCTGTGGGCAATAATCAGTGCTTTCCATAACATTTGAAGTAGGTGGCTAGCTGGGTAAGGCACCCCCCTGGAGGATAATATAAAAATAATTTTCACTCTCATAAGCCCATTAGTTCCATTCCCAATAAAATGGCTTCAAACAGAGTTTTCTATAAATGGTTAAGAATATATGAAAGTCATATATTTGAACTGCGGATAAAGACGTGAATGAAAGTGACCCTCGCAGTAATTTGCACTACTTAGGCAGTAGTGAAAATAAGGCCTGAAAAAAAAAATTCAGGCCTGTACGGGATTTGAACCCATGACCTCTGCGATACCGGTGCAGCGCTCTACCAACTGAGCTAACAGGCCAACTGGTAGAGCGCTGCACCGGTATCGCAGAGGTCATGGGTTCAAATCCCGTACAGGGCTGAATTTTTTTCAGGCCTTATTTTCACTACTGCCTAAGTAGTGCAAATTACTGCGAGGATCACTTTCATTCAAGAGTTTTCTATGTTGAACTGTGGTAAACGATCATTAAATATTTGTCTCCTTTGTAACAGTTGTTTAACTGATCTTTTATTTCTCATCAAAATCTTCCATTAGCTTACGTGCAAGCTCACTGCCTGAGTTTCACACAAAAAGTCCTCTGGAAGGACATATGGTTACTGGTTACCAAAATTGAGTCAGTATGTTGTTGTATACTCAAGATCTTATTCTTATGGAAATGTGGCATACGGCGTGATGAGACAATATCAATCGCTTTTTATCGAAAATTGTTTATAACGGTGAAAGTTGTCTGAAAAAAATATAAAAGATCCTGAAGTGTTTTAGGTGTCACTGAGTGAGTTTCTTTGAAAGCTTCCACAAAGTCACAGAAAACTCCAGAATGGTGGTAACCATCCAACATTGCAAAACACTAAACACTTTCAACAGGCAGTCTACAAAAATAACACTAGATAATAGTACATCATATTTTGACACTGCAATCCAAGCCTTTCTTTGCCTGGCCAAGCCAGATTCTATTGTTTTCCAATTGTACATCCCTTTTTGACTCCTAGTTTCCTAAAGTATTTGCACTGTAACGACATGTTTACGGAGCTTTATTCTGTTTTCAATTAGAAACAAGCTTCTCAGTCTCCAACCTCGAAAGGCTAAACGCATTTTTTGTGATGGCAAGTTTTCTTGAGTTTTTTGTTGATATGTAGCAGTAATTCCGTCACTTTTATTTACTGGAAAAAAACCCAGGATTATTCTCATCTGCAGAAGTGTTACATTACTGATGGGTATTCCATCATTTTTCACCACAACAAACTCCCCACCACAAAAATTGCCTCCACTGAGAGTGACATCGGCACCCGTGTCAATGTGAAGCATAAGGCGAAACCAGCGCGATTTTTGCTGAGTGTTTTTTGTCTAGTGATCTTTGCCGATGTTGTTTAAACAGCATGAAATTTACATTGAATGAACGCTAAGATGTAGCAGCATATCGACATTAATAGCGCTTGTAAATACAGCGAAGTTTACAGAAACAGACTAGGTATCCTTCTGGACTCAACTTCATCTTGGTTCATAAAACGCAAAAAAAAAAAGAACTTGGCCAATAACCAGCCTCACGCGTGACCAATAATGCATAACTTGTATAATGGGGACTCAATACTAGCAAAACCACCGGAATGGGAGAAACACCCTTAAATTACACTCCATTTTCGCTCTGTGCCAAAGTTTGAAGGTTCCCAAATACAGATCTATCAAATTAAACAGTAAGAGATTATTTACACAACAACTACATCATGCCTGCAGGTGGCAAATGCCACGATCCTATTTCACAAGTCTAGGTAGGCAAAAAGTTAAAGAAAAAGTTTCCTCTCTCCAAAACCTGTGGCAACTATACTTTAACTTGAGTGAGGAGGATTAACAAGTGGATTTTAAAGTCAGTTAATTTGCGAACTACACTCAGGACTAATTACCATTTTTCCTAATCATGCAGGTTACTCACACCACACTTTTGACATGGGTGATCCTTGAAGTATGCAAGACATGCTACATATGAACCTAGCAATGGCCTAACTTACCATACAGTTCTTTGCAGTTCAGTGATAGAGTATAGAAGTTCAGAAACCAAAGGTCTGGAGTTTTATTCCTCATGATGAGGGATCAGATTATTTCTTCGTCTCAGTATTTTGACAAATTGAATTACATATTTCCTTGTTATGTATCAGGTGTCAGACATTGTTGCCTATCTTTGCCTATGTACTATTGTAATGGCTTGGTCTGCTACACAATTGATAATACAAAGAGTTTAGGGATATTTCAAATTTACTCAGACTACATTTTAAATTGAAGGTTAAGCCTTGAAATTGACAAATGCAGTTAATTTACCTTTATCCATTTTGTGTTGACAAATAGTAGCTTTACATGATGTGATGTTTCGT